AAACATTGTAATAACTTAGTTTCCACTTCTTAGCGTGAAAGTGTATCAAGGGGCTCAAAGTGTCACTTGCACTTTCACTTAGGACCGCTTAGCATTTTCCATTTGCATTCCTTTACTTTACTTTGCTTGATTGTCTTTTATGTTTTAAGTCTCCGTGATAATAGGGGCACGTTTTATTTAGCTAAACCTTCATTTGATTTTCTAGGTGCATTTCATCTTGCATTCAAAAAGCTTTTGAAAGATTTCTACCTAGAAACTAAGGTAAGAAACAACCAAAGACACTCTGGCTAGAAAGTACAAGGTTCTTAAGCTTGTCCATTTGTGACTCACCTCTCCTTCCTGGGAGCTATTTGGTTCATTTTACCTCTAGAATCTTTCTCAAAATCCTTCACCAAAAATCTAAAAAAAAAAGTTTGTGAAAAGTTTTTAGACTCTCTACTTGTGCAAGTTTTTCAAACTCTTGTGAAAATCTTTCTTTCTTACTTCACAAGTATGAGTCACTCAAGTGTCCAAGGGAGTATAAAAAATGATTGTGAGAATGTGCAATTAAGTGAGGAGCTTCATAGAACTCAAGCTCAACTTAATAGGACTGAAGCCAAGGTTAATAGAACTCAATCTGAGTTTCAACTAGCTCAACAAGAGATAAATGAGCTTAGGCAAATGGTTAATAGCCTCACGCTTAACCAAAGAGGTCAAAATCATGCCGAGTCTTCTCGTGGTGATCATCATTCCCATCATAGTGACCAAAATGTTTATGGTGGTCATCATAATGACTACTATCAACACCAACCTAGAAGACATCAACATCATAGAGATCATTATGTGGAACCGAAACTTGACCTTTCCCCCTTTTATGGCCGAGATAATGTAGAAGAGTATTTTGAGTGGGAGATGAAGGTAGAACAAATTTTTGAGTGCTACTACATTGATGATAGAAGACGAGTTACCTTGGCAACTTTGACCTTTGAAGGCGCAACTCTATATTGGTGGACATCCTTGATTCGTGAGCAAAGAATGCAAGAAGACTACACCATCCAATATTGGAATGAACTCAAAGCAACCTTGCATAGAAGACATGTTCCAGCATATTATGCAAGGGAGATCATGGATAAGCTCCATAGACTCCAACAACCAAACATGAATGTCAAGGAATATCGATAGAAGATGGAACTCCTCATGTTACGAGCTGGAATTAAAGAGGAAGAAAGATTCACCATAGTTAGGTTTCAAAGTGGCCTCAATTATGAGATCTGTGATAAGGTAGAGCTTTTACCTTACCTAAATCTCAATGATTTTAGTCAGCTATGTGTGAGAGTGGAAGAGCAAAATAGAAGAAAAGCTTCCACTGAAATGAATTACCCTACCACCTCCGAGTATAGGAAAGATCCTAAGAGGGAGGGTAGTCAATCGAGGTATGAGGAACCTCAATAAAAATATAAAGAGAGAGTGAGAGGAAAAGTGTAACATCCCACAAAATATAGCTTAAACTATATGGAGCAGTCAACATATAATAATATGATAGGACAGTTATCAGATTTACAATAAGAGTTCTAGATAAACTAAAAATGTCGAGCGTTTATAACATTCCAATAACTAATAAAGTCTGGTACGAATTAGAAGAAAAAGCCGAACGGTTCCAAAACTACGTTCAAACCGAACAGTGGTACAAAATGATATTAACCCTACTGACCGAACGGTCCTAATGTACAACTTCAATATTCTCTCTTTCCAAAGCTTCTTCCAGCGAACCCTCGTCCCTTTCTGCTCACATCCACAGGATGATCATTGCAACAGGAAGGATGACCGAATGGACAACATAAACACTACAAGAGAGTAGGGTAACCTTATGTAATTTAATTAATCATAAAAACCGAACAGATTCACATATAGCATAAAATCATCACACATGCAATTTCATACAATAACTGACAGGAACTTACATGCAATGACCGACCATTTTTACACAGACTGTTCGTACTGTATGAATTATGTAGCTACGACGTTTTTGCACCCGGATGGTGTAGTAGCTGGGATTCCCTCAACAGCTGCCACCCGAGGTTAGTCCGTTATACCTCGCCCAAGTTCACCTTATGGACTAGGACCTCCTGCCATTCTCACACATGAGTTACTCTTCTCTACTTGAGAATGAGTAATCACAAAATATCAGGATAAACGCCAACTAAGCTATAACCACATTCATACTTTACCATTCAATAACCATCCATGAGATATTCCCCCTTGGAACACTCGTTCATATCCATATAATATAAATCACATCATACTGTAATGTCATCATACTTTTTCATTTATACAATTCAAACCGAACATTAAAACAACACCACCCTTGAGAACGACCCAACACAAAGATCCACAAATCTTTATGACCAAGACCGGACGAAAAATCACTACCCATATGATCATGACCGAGCGGTCATTTAAAGAGCAAGACTCAAGATAAGCCGAACACGATTTTAGGGTCGAACACTAAAACAACCAAATACAACAATTAAACTCGAGCACTTAAATCTTAAACCGAACCCTTATGATTTAGAGCGAATACTATTGCCTTAGACCGATCACTATTGGCTTAGGCCGAACATTATCCGCTTAGGCCAAACACTATGGACTTAGGCCAAACACTTAGAATTTAAACCGAACATCAATACATACCGAGTGTTAGTACAAGACTGAGCACTACTGAGACCGAGTGCTAATACAAGACCAAGCACTACTGAGCTTATATAAAATAAATAAATAGATTCGACCGCACAATTATGAAACACTTATTTATAATTGAGGATAAATATAGTATCTAAGATTTAAATTATATTGAGTACCTTAACTAGCCTGATTACCAAGTAGAAATAGAAAACTATACTTGTACCGAACACTTACTTTCAAATATACTGATAGAGACCGATTGGTCATTAACTGAAATTCTCCATAGAGTGAGAATTCAAAGGTTGATCTTTTCTAGTCAACTAAGTCAATGGAGCTACTATTTTAGACAATCCTTCAATGAACCGTTTGCCAATCCAACAAAACTTCTGACCTTAGTGACCGAACGGGGTCTTTCCCATTGAAGCACAGCATGCACCTTTGCAGGATCCACCGAGATACCACCTGCTGATATTACATGCCCCAAAAATTGCACTCCTTCCATCCAAAATTCACACTTGGATAACTTCGCATACAACTTATTTTCTCTTAACACACCGAGCATTATCCTCAAATGTTCTTCATGCTCCTCACAACTCTTGGAATAAGAATATCATCAATGAAAACGACCACAAACTTATCCAGGAAGGGTCTAAAAATGTGATTCATATAGTCCATGAATATGGCTGGAGCATTGGTAACACTGAACGACATTACTACATACTCGTAGTGACCATACCGAGACTTGAATGCAGTCTTCTGGACATGTCCTCCCTTAACCAAAATTTGATGATATCCTGACCTAAGATCTATCTTAGAAAATACCTTAGCCCTATGCAATTGATCCAACAAATCGTCAATTCTTGGCAAAGGATACTTATTCTTGATTGTCAACTTGTTCAATTGCCTATAGTCCACACATAGCCAAGAACTGCCATCCTTCTTCTCAACCGGTACACTAGAGCACCCCACGGTGACGCACTTGGTCGAATGAACTGCTTATCCATTAACTCTTCAATATGCTTTTTGAGCTCGGCTAGCTCTACTGTAGCCATTCGGTATGGCGCTATTGATATTGGCCCTACTTCGGACACCAGATCAATGAAGAATTCAACTTCTCTTAGAGGAGGTAATCCTAGCACCTCTTAGGAAAAACATCCCGAAATTCCCTTACGACCGAACGATTCTCAACCTGCTCATCTTGCACCGAACGGTCTAAACGTTGCTCTCCTTCAACCACTTCCAAATGAGACAATAGCAGAAAGCAACTAGCGCCCTCCTTCAATCTTCACTGGGAAATACTAACTTCTTCCCACCACAATCTATAAGAATGTGATTGGTAGTCAACCAAACCATTCCTAAAATTACCTCTAAACCTTGAAGAGGTAAACATATAAAATTGACTCTAAACGACGCCCCTTAACCTCAATCAGACACCTAATACATACAGTAGACGTCCTAATCTCGCCAACTGCTGGGGTTGACACCACCAGATCAAACTGCATCTCACTCTCAAACAATCCCAACTTCTCAACACATGCCTTTGAGATAAAGCAATGTGTTGCCCCCGAATCAAACAACACATCACAAGGCAATCAATATAGTAAACAAGAACTGCTTGCTGCTTCAGCTCCTGTTATATCATATACTCGTCCCACTACTTGCGCTCGGCCACCACCTCTTTGTTGAGACCTCCCAGCATTTGGTGGCCTTAAAACTGCTCTTCTTCCCATATTACATTCACTCTCCAAATGCCCATTCCTCCTGCACCAAGTGCAATACTTCACTCCTACCAGCTGAGGACATGCATACTTGTAATGAAGTCCTCCAAAATTAAAACAAGCCATAGATCCTTGTTGCCCATACTGACCAACCGAACCCGAGGACTGAGAAGAAGAACCACCAGAGCTTGTAGAAGGCGAAGGCCGAGTATATGAGGTTCTCCTAGAGCCGAGGCTACTTCTGGAAGAAGTTGACCCCCTAACATCCTGTTGCTTCTGTTGCCATTCTACCTCTAACGCGTTCTTCTCTAACACCTTGGCTCTCTCCACCAACGAAGGAAAGGACTTGATGAACAAACTAAAGATTAACAACTTAAGAACCCCTCGCAAACCATTCTCAAACTTCATGCATTGCCACTCCTCATCTATTGACATGGTATAAAACCTCCCCAAGTGCTTGAACTTGTCTGTATACTCGGATACAAACATCCCTCCTTGAACCAGCTGAAGGAATTCCATCTTTGGCGATCCGAACGCTATTAGGAAAATATTCTTCATAAAACTTCTTCTTGAAAATTTCCCAAGAGATGAGAGTATTACTGTCTTCTAGTAGCATCCTCATGATACTCCTCCAATGACTGGCCTCCCCAATCAATAGATACTCAGTAAACGCCAACCTATTGTCATCCGGACACCTCTTGGCGTTGTACATCCTTTCCATGTCGTGCAACCACTGATCGGCTTCATCCGGAAGACACTTTCCATTAAACTTGGCCGGGTGATGTTGGAGTAAACTCTCTAAACTCCATTCAGTTTGATGGATAGTAGTGGAAGAGGACGGTCCAACTATATTCTTATTACTTGTTATTATATCCATAAGTTGCCTTTGGGTTACCTTTGTCGTTACTCTGGCAGCGTCCAATTTTGTAAAGCAACGGTATTTTGTTGCACTAACGAAGCATTATGTTGCTACAATGCCGCTATCACTGATTCCAATAGTCTAGTGTTATCAGATGTATCCCGATCGGCAGGTGGAGGAGGAGGGGAAAAGGAGGGGGTCTAGGTGCCATCTTCTGGTTTATCAGAGAGAAAGAACCATTAGTTTAACTCAAGGAGTCAGAACACTATCTAACTGAACATTGAGTACACAACACAAGCATAGTATACCCATAACCAACAGTATTTATAAGGAACTAACTACTCTGATACCATTAATGTAACATCCCACAAAATATAGCTTAAACTATATGGAGGAGTCAACATATAATAATATGATAGGACAATTATCAGGTTTACAATAAGAGTTCTAGATAAACTAAAAATACCGAGCGTTTAGAACATTACAATAACTAATAAAGTCTGGTACAGATTAGAAGAAAAATTCGAACGGTTCCAAAACTATGGTTAAACCGAATGGTGGTACAAAATGATATTAACCCTACTGACCGAATGATCCTAAGGTATAGCTTCAATATTCTCTCCTTCCAAAGCTTCTTCCAATGAACCCTCGTCCCCTTCTGCTTACATCCACAGGATGATCATTGCAACAGGAAGGATGACCGAACGGATAACATAGACAAGACAGGAGAGTATGGTAAGCTTATGTAATTTAATTAATCATAAAAACCAAAGATATTCACATATAGCATAAAATCATCACACATGCAATTTCATATAATAACCGACAGAAATTTACATGCAATGACCGACCACTTTTACTCAGACTGTCCGGACTGTATGAATTATGCACCCGGATGGTGTACTAGCTGGGATGCCCTCAACAGCTGCCACCCGAGGTTAGTCCGTTATACCTCGCCCAAGTTCACCTTATGGACTAGGACCTCCTGCCATTCTCACACATGAGTTACTCTTCTCTACTTGAGAATGAGTAATCACAAAATATCAGGATAAACGCCAGCTAAGCTATAACCACATTCATACTTTACCATTCAATAACCATCCATGAGATATTCCTCCTTGAAACACTCGTTCATATCCATATAATATAAAGCACATCATACTGTAATGTCATCATACTTTTCATTTGTACAATTCAAACCGAACAGTCAAACAACACCACCCTTGAGAACAACCGAACAGAAAGATCCACAAATCTTTATGAACAAGACCAGACGGAAAATCACTACCCATATGATCATGATCGAGCGGTCATTTAAATAGCAAGACTCAAGCATGCGCCGAACACGATTTTAGGGTCGAACACTAAAACAACCAAATAAAACGATTTAACCCGAGCACTTAAATCTTAGACCGAACCCTTATGATTTAGAGTGAATACTATTGCCTTAGACCGATCACTATTGGCTTAGGCCGAACACTATCAGCTTAGGCCGAACACTATGGACTTAGGCCGAACACTTAGAATTTGAATCGAACATCAATACATACCGAGTGTTAGTACAAGACCAAGCACTATTGAGACCGAGTGCTAGTACAAGACCGAGCACTACTGAGACCGAGTGCTAGTACAAGGCCAAGAACTATTGCGCTTATATAAAATAAATAAATAGATTTGACCGCACAACTATGAAACACTTATTTATAACTAAGGATAAATATAGTATCTAAGATTTAAATTATATTGAGTACCTTAACTAGCCTGATAACCAAGTAGAAATAAAAAACTATACGTAGACCGAATACTTACTTTCAAATACACTGATAAAGATCGATCAGTCATTAACTGAAATTCTCCATAGAGTGAGAATTCAATTAAGACCGAACACACCAAGAGAAACCGAACAGTCACGACTGACTCTCGGTGATAATTAACGAATTCTGCACAAATACTGCAGAATCATGATCAAGTTCTATTTCTACTCAGTTCACACCATTTATCAATCATCAACACATACAGACGAACATACAATAACATCGATAGTTCATATCAACCAAATAACTAAACCAAACATCATTCAAACATGCAACCATTCAAAACAGAGAATCATAATTAAATTACAAGCTTCCTTTACCTTGAAACCAAGAAAAACTCTTATGCTTTCACAGTATTGCCTACACCGCTAGTAACTTCTATAACCTCCTACAAACTTCAACTCCAAAACAACAACTTGATCGGTGCAATGTGAAGCCCTTGACACCAGGAGGACTCAGTGTTGCCTGATTGATGATCGGAAGAAAGGAAAGGTAAGAATTTGTAGAGAGAAGGAGAAGAAGTTTAGAGAGAAAGAGAAGAAGTTTTAAATGTCCTCACAAAAGGTCTACTTATCTCTTAGACCATCAGAGTGAAGATGAGGATTCTTCTAGTGATTAAGATACTTCCATATCTGAGGAAGAAGCCTTACCTTGTGAAGGTGAGTTATTGTTGGTAAGAAGACTTCTTGGAAGTCAATCTAAAGAACTAGAACAAT